ATACTGTATTAGTTTACATTTTATTATAAAAATAATAATTAAAAAGAATATAAATATAGATATAGATTATGATCATTAAAAATAAAAAATTAAACATAGGTAATATGTATGAGAAATTTTAAAATGTAATAAAAATAAAATTATTTAAAAAATCTTACAAAATATTGTTATTAATGCAAAATATATATAAATTACGTACTGATTATATATGTATATATAAATCTAATTAGTATATATTCTATTAGTATATATTCTAATCAGTATATATTCTTATCAATATTACTATTTAGAGGATTTTCCTCTTAAAATAAGAAACTCTTCTTGGCGCCTATTTTAGTATAAAATATACTTAAAGTAAGTGGGATATATATCCTCAAAATAAGAATACAATTTTTTCGGTGTTGTAAACCAATCGTTTAATCGCGAAAAACGTCGAATGATTTTTTTTTTTATAATCCAACTTTTGTTGTTATGTAATATAGCCAAGTGCATTAACACGTGCGACTTAAACGTTTTTAAGTTTAAACGTGTGCGCAGGAACGAGAAACTTATAAGTGTGGATTCTCGCAGGAGAAAATCATATAAGTGCGGAAATGCGGCAGCAAAATGTTCATGACACAGCTTGTACTCGCCTTCAGAGCGGCTTGCTTACAACACTTACTATACTGGCACGTTATACTGTACTATACTGACTCGGATATAAGGCATGAACTGTGCGCTCTCTCTCTCTCTCTCTCTCTCTCTTTCGCGTGGGATCTTATATATCGCCCCGCAGTGTCTCGCATGCCTTTCATTTCGTCCTTTACGGTACTTCGTCATGATTTACGGCGTATCCGCATGAGGAACGACGGCATCGCGCGAAAGTATACATACTCTCACTCTCTCTCTCTCTCTCTTTCTCGTCCCTCCTCCTCCTTACTTCCTTCCTTCCTTCCTCTCGCTACGATTTCCGTCGCGTGAGTGTACCTCGCCTGTAATTTTCTCGTCGACAGTCGCGAGATGCCGGGAAAGGATGCTCTTGCTAAAGGACGCCTTTGACCTGACTTCGGCGGAAGTCGCCGCACCTTGCTTTCTACCCCCTCAATGCGGTAAGTCGCGATAGCGATAAGATGTATTACGGAAGGATCGCGTAAACGCGGCAAACACATCCTCGGAATACCTAATCATCAGAAGTCCCGACTCGACTTCACATCGAATTAATCGCTGAATATTCAATTAAGATATGATATTGCTAAAAACTTGAAATAATATCGGCGCTATCGAGATTTCGAACAATACGCATACTGTTCGTTTACATAATCGTTCCATAATCACTTTTTCGTCAGTTACAATCGACATCAGCTCATTGTTGCGCGAATCGCCGTTTGTTTGTCATGCAATTAACGAAGAGGAGAGCTAATTATTAGCGCACACACCGTAAAACGAGCGCTCTCTCTAATTTGCATCCGTTGCTAATTGGTTCGTAGCAACGAGTAATTATTTGTATTTTGCTAATCAACATCACACGTGTTAGGATTTTCGGCGTGCTTTTGGATTAGTATTACACGCATTTCAATACGTGCGCTATGTATTATTTATACACGGTTCATTAAAGTATTAGTATTTCCCGATATTGATACACTGATTATAGCAATCAAAGAAAGAAGCTTTTCACGCACTATTAATCAATAATTCATGTACGAAAGTTAATGAAGTAATTAAATAAAACAAAACGAAATATCAAACTGATAAAAAAAGCAATTACATTTTTATTATAGAATCTATAGTTTTTTGAAAACATAGCTGTATATAGAATATTGTGCGGCGCAATGACGAGATATACTTTAACAGCAGAAATATCTATTTTCCATGCAACCTATAAAATGAAATGTTACATCTACAGTAGAAAGCTATAAGATGAATAGAAATTTTAGTGAAACCATAAAATGAACAAAATAAATACTTATATTGATATTTTTATATAAAAAATAGAGTCATTTTCTTTCTTAGATATTTTGTGTGACATGTATATGTATATTTTTCAATGTATAAAATTAATCATATTTATATATCCTACCTTTTTTTCTGCAATGTTACGTAACATTACGTTTTCAAGATTCTAAAAGTCTATTTTTCGATAAAACTTACACGCACAACTTACACGCATAACAACATGATGAACGCAACTGGTGCGAATTTAGATTATGGTTAATGTTAGTCTTAAGCAAATCATCGGCTTACACACAATTCTCTCACATACTTTAACAATCGGAATGTGTAATTTTCAGCGAGCATTGTTCCCTGAAGAATATTGCATGACGAATAACGTGCGACATCGTCAAGGAAATTGCATCTTAAATCTTACAGACCGGAATTCCTTTCGCTCAACACGCCAAGCAATCTGCTCATCTTTCCTTTCCCTTTCCTCTTTGCGTCCTTCACACGTCAAGAACTCTCATGATGTTTCAACTGCTTCGAAAACTGCAACTGTATCGAATTGTTCATAAAAATTTTTGCAATTTTCTCGAGTTAATTAAAGTTCAACTATTTTCGCGTCACGTCCTTCGATGGGAAACGTCGAACTCGCGGAAAGTACGGAAAAACAGAATTTTAGGAAAAATACAACGTACACAACCGCGAAAAAAAAAACGTTTTATCTCACGATTACGACAAATTGTTGCCATGCCCGCTTTCGGCCATAACACGCTGTATGAGCCATTAGTTAATGCGTTAAAACGAGTGTTATGAGAAGTGTTTATTATAGTAATTCATATAAAATATAAATGTGTTATTTTACCTTACGCAATTTCGCTACGCATAATTCTCTTAAGTATGCGCGATGCTTAAATGAAACATACATATATGGGCGTTCGTGTGCATGTGTGTGTGTGCAATATGTTTGAGCGCACGCGCGAGCTTAAGCGACTCGTTCGCGGTGATCCATAATCAAGGACACGCGATATCTCACAGACAGAATTTCATAGATCCGACACGGAGATTACTGAGCGGCGAATAGATAACCGTTGTGGAAAAGTCACGCGAAGTTGAGTATTGTACTCGGCGCGGTGAAGATCGGTATCGCGAGGGCATCATCATGATTTTCGCGCCTAGTCGCGCAAATTTCTTCCATCACCTGACCGGACCTACTTAACCGCCACGATCTTCATGAATGAACATGCGAATTCTCAAACCGTTGTCGATATTATTCGACACGCGTGTTTTATTTCCATATCCTTCGTTGTTATTTTTCGTTATTCCGCTATTTGTTAGCGCACAACCAAATATATAACTGATTTTTGTTTCTATACTTTTTCTATAAATTTCCGGAATCCTGAGGATTCTTGCAAGCAGAATTTAGACATTTTGTTTATTAATTAGCTCATAAAATCAAACTTTCAGCAAAATCCTTAATGAGCTTTTCCAACACAAATAGTTCCGTAGTCGAAGTATTTCTCATTAAACACTCCGCATAAAATTGAAGCGAGAAGTACCTCTCTTCGCTGAAACGATTCAAGATTCAGAGGGATTGAAAGCGCTTCATTATTTGCTGCGCTCGGTAAGTGGTTCTTTCGATCTGAACGTATATGTCACCCGGACGATCTCTATTCTTCGGAGAGAAGAGAGAGAGGAGAAATTTCTTTTGTCGCGCTCCCTTCCGCGCGGGTCGAACGCAATGATGAGCGAAGGGGAGGGAAAAAGGGGTGGTTTTTTTTTTCAGATTGGAATAGCTCGGTAACAACCGTTGCAGCGTTTTTCTAGCTTTTGAGATGCAAGAAAATAATGATGCCAGCAGACACACGTACAATCACACGGCAAAATATGCCGTGAGCGAGTCCCGTGTCGAAGAGTGTAAGGTGCGCATCGGTGAAGGGCGCGTTAAATGCAAAGTGCAGAAAAACGCGTGTCCTTATACGAGACGCGGGTGAAAACAAACGATAGTCGCAGACAGAAGTATAAAGTAATGACGTGTACAAACACGTGAAGGGGGATGAAGAAAAGAAAAGCGCGTCAGATGAGCGCTATTTAAAGTCCCGAACAATGCGCTATGCATATTTACGCTCCAATGATATTTTTCATCAGTTCGATATTTTTATGTATCATTTATATACAAATTGATGCACAAGATGCGTTTTGCGGTAATAAAGAAACAATTGCGCGCCTAATGAAAGATACAAAAACAAGCAATTATTCTAATGTGCAGAATCCTAAAAGAATGTTCTTGACAATCGGTTTTATATAACAATCAGTTAACTATTAAAAATAAAAGTATTCCTCTTATCAGAGAGAAAACTTCTCAAGAATAAAAATGTAGACCCCGTTATCTAATATCGCAGTCCTTTCATATCTTACGTACTCTTTTAAAATGACAGTTTTCTTTCAGCACATCTTTAGATTTCTTGATTTCCGGTGCAAAAGGCATAGTGGCAGTGATCTGCCAAGTAAAAAAATAATGTACCTTTTCCAGCCGGCTGCACACATCCGATGCACCAATCCAGCTAAAAGCTTGGATATAACGCTCGCGAATACGCTCCTCTTCCTTTAACCTTCTTTTCTCTAATCCTTTCTAGTATGCGCGTATACAGAGAGTTGACAAACAGCACAAATAGAGTAGAATAGAGACGGAATAAAGAGGTGGAATTTAATGTTTGCATACATCAGAAATGTTTTGTGTCGTTTAGTGCATCTATCTTCCACAAAACCGATCTGTTAAATTTCCGCGCTGAGTCGTCAAGAAGCAAGTATGTGTGTTGCAAGTGAAATTGATATCTCGTATACATGTTTACCGCGATGTATAATATATACATATATATGTATACAATTATATTGTTCATGTAAAACAGATATAATAACAATATATTACAGAACGATGACGTTCTCTATGTATAATGAACAGATAACGATCAAAATTCTATACGTTACTACAAAGAAATTGTAAAATTTCAAAAAACTGTGCGCAAATTCAGCACGAAAGACACGACCGTTTTTCGAAAAAAATCCGAGGAAAAAAAAATAGCACTTACCTTCCAGTTCGACGGTTTTTCCGGCCCTCTTCAACGCTTTTACTGCCTCATCGTGCGTGGCTTCACGTAGATCTTCGCCGTTAACCGCCAAAATGGCATCACCGACGTAAAGCTGCTCGGTAGCGTCCGCCGCCATGCCCTTGAATATCTTCGAGATTAGGATCGGCATTTTATTCTCCTTGCCGCCCTTAATCGAGATCCCAAGACCGTTGTTGTCACTCTTAACTACGCGGACGACGCGCTTCTGGTTCGCCACTGAGTCAGGCACGTCCGGGTCGTTCAGACTATCCACGTTGTTATTGTTGATGTTACCGTTGTTCAGGGTATTGTTGCCGGTCTCGCAGCTTTCGTCGAGAGAAATGCTAAGGTAATCGTCTTCCAGAGAGACGAATACACGGTACCATTGACCGCGTACTTGAGTCTCGAGGACACCGGCGCGTCCCGATACCGAAGACGAGGCACCGGTCGTCGTAGTGGTCGACGATGAGGACGAGGACGTTGCCGCGGATACCATCGAGCCGATACCCATCACCCCCATAGCTGAAGACGCTTGGCCGCTACCACACAACTCCACCATTTCGATTTCTTCGTAAGTTGTACGCTGCAACAAGCCAACAATTACGCGCGTAATTTTTCACTTCTTTTTATAAAAATGCAAAATTTTATATAAATACAGTGATCGATACACAGTGACTAAAATTTACACGACCTTGTTTTTCAAGTTAGCAATCGAGGAAAAATGAACTTTATACATATAAATATTTTATTTATAATACTAGTATCTACATATATGAATATATATATATATATATATATATATATATATATATATATATATACGCCGAACATTTTCAGCATTTTTCCATGTTTCTATCA